GGTGTGTGTGGGTGTGGGGTGTGGGGGGGGGGTGTGGGTGTGAGTGTGGGCGTGGGTTTCAAGAAAAGATATGAACCTACACCCACATCCACACTCGCACATCACACCCCTTCTGCATTCATGATATGTATATATATGTATATATATATTTAGTCTCGAATGGAAAATCATTAATATTATGATGTGAACTTTATGTATTGTGTAATTTAGGTTGAATATGCTGATACTATTTTTAAGTATTGTCAGACTAATATTAGAATTTTGACAATAGTGAAATTTTCCATGTATTATTCTCACAAAATATGAAACCAAATTATCAATGATAACCTTTTATTGGAAAATAAATCTAAAAATACAATCGTGATTGAAAGTTATTACACAAGAACAAGTCAATCTCATTACATTTCTATGGTTCTATTGATCATCGAGTTTTTCTGTCATTCATTTTACTTTTTATAGCTCATTAAGCCATATCAAATATATTTAAAGTTACAGCAAAATTTCTATTGAAATTTTTTTTAGGAAGCAGACGTAGATTTGCGGATATTCATTCATAATAAGCAGTTTTTCCTTTCATGAAAAACTTCTATCGTAGTCAAATATAACTTAAAAGCTGTTGTTGCGATCATTTCCTGATATTTTAAACAATATATCACAAAAAACTTTTCCTTTTTCTTATTATTTTAGAAGAAAAGGCAGATGACTCAAGATATAACTATTCATGTATTTTGCTTGTGAATGCGGATTGTCTCTTTCACTCCACTCTCACACTTACACCCGAATTTTCTTTTTCTTTCACAACTAGGTTTTTGAAACCGTTAAATAAATGACTTTCAAAAATCAACAAAAGCATCTACAGGGTGTCCCAAAAGTCACTTTGCACTTTGTGCTGTACATGTTTCGTAAGTTTTAAAATTCTCTATCATTATTCATAATTTATAACTTATAAACCAATTTTTTACTATTGCCAGGGATTCGTGAAGTCACTTTTAACAGCAAATAATGATTTATTTATAATGAATAATGAAAAAATTTTCGGATGCATGACATGTAAGCAATTCAAGTGTACAGTGACTTTTGAAACACCCTGTATATTCTTAGCTTCCTGAATATCAACTGTACAAAAATTTTAACGATTAACAGTGCCATCATACATAATTTATTTTACCAAAAATGAATAGGAAAGAAAAAGTAGATGAACAGAAGAAGAGAAAAAATGAGAGCAGAATTGTCTTTAGCACTGCTAACTCCATTCGGTGGTTGAATAATCTCTGAATCTGGCAGAATGATTCGTCCTTTGATGTTAACTGAGAATTCTGGTAAGAGTGATGCGTAATCATCTAACCAAGTTGAAGAACCATTGGTAACAACAAGTCGAGCGAGAATTTCAGCAAATGCGGGTAGATATTGAATACTAGACCAACTGTCGGTTCCTAGCACAAGCTTTTGTTCAAAGCCAGGAATATAATCGAGAATGAAGCCTCCATCGGACAACATCGAATCGAGTGTAGTATCAGTCGGCATAATTGGACTAGTCAAATTAATAGTTTGAGATAAATGCTGGCTTACCCATGTCAGCATTCTGTCAAGTATCTGCTTATCCGGCTTATTCGTTCGATTATAAGGAGAGTTGATTGGCTGCATGTTCACTGGATTTATTCGAGGCTCAATACGTAGATAACCTGATTGATCTGGAGGATAACCAGCATAGTAATGATTATCAGTGGATGAAAAACGCCAAGTTGGTACGATTAGATTCGCAGGTGTTGATCGTAATTGACGAAAATAAATAGCTGATGGATGCTCATATAAATTGATACTGAGATTGAGTCCAAGTGTATTCATCATTGTCTTGGTAAAAGAACCGGGAAGAAAAATGATTTTTGTAGCATTCAGAGAGCCGCGATCAGTCGTTATATGTATACGTGATCCGTTGGATATTTGTTGCACACTGAGAAATGTTTCTTTGTCTCGTATTAAAATATTGGGCATTTGAGCTACCATTTTTTTCAAAGTAGTCAATAACAAAGTTACATTGATAAAACCAGATTGACTCAAGTGTAAAGCAGACTGATTCACAGTGATAAAAGAGTGCCCATTCGCCATTTGTATCGAGGAGAATAGAGTACAGTTAGCAATGGATAAATTGCGACAATATTCAACCATATCAGAGACTGATTGATTCATATAGAGAAAACCGTTAAGAGCATTTAACAATGAATCTGTTGACATATTCGCTTCTTTCTCCAACTCTCGCCACACAGGTAAAACAAGTTGACCTAATTTACTCAAGTAATATTTATCGTTTACTAAGTGAAACGGGGCCACTTCTACTGGTTTGATATCGTCTTCTCTTTGAAGAACAACAATACGTTTGTTTCTCAATCGCTTAGCCAAATTCAATGCCGTAGCCAAACCGAGAGCCCCACCATCAATGATGGCAACATCGAATTCTTCTTCCTGCAACAATAGATCACACATTTTAATGAAATAACTTTTCAAATGAATAGAACAAAATTTTATTTCATCCCACATGCAGTCATATTTAATCCGTATTGCATAGATATTCAGGGGCGCATAGAAGTTCATCTCAATTTAATTAGCTCTTGGAATTTAAAACTCAAACACTCAATAAAACACCAAATAGTGTAGTTTTTCAAGAGTATAATGTCCACGTAAGCGCACTTCTGAAATAATCATTGTCAAATGAACGGAGGTCTATGAGATGAGAAAAATCTAGGATGATATACTTTTTCTAGAAATTCTTTGATTTCTACATGTTTAATCAAATTAATGGTTATTAACAAGTACGCATTGAAAATCAATACATACCGATTTTAAAATCATAGAAATACTCTTAAAATGTTATTCAACTATGTGTAGCTCTGTAAAAGAACTTAGTAATCATACTTTTAAACCTCACCAATATGTAGTGATTGTTAATTATTGATAAAGATTAGCTCGATCGATGAAGATCAACTCGAGAAGATCCTTATTAAATTTCTTAGTTGACACACAATCGATATGTGGGAGAAAATTATCAAGCAAAATCGGCGTTTACTTGACGAAAGACATTTCAAAGAACATTGATGAATGATACTCACTTGGTAATGCATGAGAACACGCATTGATGATTGAATGGCTCCTTCAACCCATCGATGAACATAGCTAATATGTTCTCCACTGAAATGTATGATGTTCTTAATCGATTTTCCTAATTCATTATGTAGATTTGTTTCTTGATTTGGAGTGAAGAGTGCATAAGCACCATGAGTATATTGATCTGTACACCAATTCTGTACTTCACAACTGATAACCAATGATCGAATGTCCGATCGATTGTGAAGTTGGATGAGATCTTGAAGAGATTTTTCGCATGTCTGTTCATTGCTCAAAGCTGACCACAACAATGCATCTGTTGCCCAGACATATGATGTCAGAATAAAGCCTCCATCGGTTACTTGATTAGAGGTAGTGTTAAAATTATTGTAAAATACAAACCGTATGGGTAAGTCAGTGATTGAGTAGCCACCTTGAATATTTTCATCGCGCCAAAATTGACGACTAAATGAATGAGCTATTTTCGTTGCACAATCATAATGTAATACACGAAGAGCATGATATTTTTCAGTGAACAAATTTCTCGGTTCGAATTGAATCAAACTAGCTGCTCTTGCTGTTGTTGAAACGATGACCGAATCAAAACGTATTGATGTAGAATTTTTACCGATCACCAAACGCACCCAAGGACGAATAGAAGAATTACTAAGATCTTCAACATAATGAACTCCTTTCACTGGTGTATTTGTGTGGATGCTGCATCGGCCATTAGATACACTTTTACAATCACGTTCCAATGCATCGATCAGCAAATCAAAACCTCCATCAATTTGTGAATATTCCGGATCTAATGTCAAAATAACAGTACTTCGAACCATTTCAATAAGACTTGTTTGCATGTCAACATTGTACATAAGCGAAATAAAATTGACGGCACCACGAGACATATTCTCGTGTTCAAGAAAGTATCGTTCAATACTGTATTTATCATACTTGGCTTTGAGATCATCATAACTTGTATATGTCACTGATTTCATTGCATTGTTCCACAAATCGCTCACAGTCTGCAATATGTCGTCAAACATAAATTCGTTTATTATTATTTTTCAGATTACATACTTAAAAGGTAAAAAACTCTTTAATAATGTTATTTGTTCATCTAATAGAAAAGTAGAATTCACTGATAATGAGACTAGTTTCAAACTTGGCATTTGATTACGAGAATTTCACTGACAAAAAAGGATTCTATTTTCGTATTCAAATTTTCTTTTCAACAATTGAGAATCCTTCAACAATGACAAAAAAAACGTTTGCTAAATCATTTATCGATAATAGTAGTTTATGATCACTGCGAGAGATTTTCGAATTTACCTATCGCTTATTAGATAGATCGTTCAACACTAAGTACAAGACAAAAAGATCTTATGAAATATTATTACCTTATTTTTCTCTCTCTCGTAAACATTGAATCCATTTTCTTCAGGTACAATTCTTTCATTAAATGTACGTCTTCGATCATTGATATAAAATAGAGCATTGGAATCGTAGCCAAAGAATGGTGTTATTTTGAGCTTGTATCGTTCTGTGACATAGATATTTATGAGTGGATGCTGTTTCAACGGCAAACGCATGACTCCCAACTCTGTTATGAAGCCTCTATCTCGGATTCGATGAGTCAAAAATCGACCTCCCAAACGATTGCTCGCCTCGTACACGGTTACACGATGACCTGCTTTTGACAGTTCAATGGCATTGATTAAACCAGATATGCCTAATAAAATAATAAAAATTGATCAAGAAGATGTGTCTCATGGATATTATTGTTATTGATAACTGCTGCATAGTTACTATTTTTCAGCTGATGATAAAGTATAAATTTCTGACAATAGAAAATCTAAATTTTTTTTGAGAATTTGAATGAAACTTCAAGATTAGATTGAAGTAAGTTTTCTCAAAAGTTCGAACTTCGTTTCCAAAAGACTAATAAATGAGAAGAATAAGTAAAAAGTATCAATCACTATCGCTGCTTTGACAAGTCGATCAATGATGGAAAAAGTCATGATAAGATTAATAAACCGACTTAAAAAAAGTCTCACAGAAACTGTTTTAGCAGAATTTCACTTCTTTTTGAAATATTCTCATATTACCGATATTTTCCCATAGGTTTGAGACCAGAGACAAACAAACGAGATAAAATCAATGAGTGAATATCTTAGATTAATTTTCAAAAATATTATCAAGCTTTCAATGATCACTTGAGTACAGAAACCCGATAACATCTAACTCAAAGTACCGTTTCTACATTTTTCACGATTTGAACTGAGTAAATCCTTTCTGAACGTGTTGATATTTGGTTTAATATTACGATACGTACCAGCTCCAATTACAGCAATATTTTGACAATCGAAGCATTTAGACAAGCCACGTTTAACAATACTTTCCATTTGAGGTGTGAAAAACTCTTTCGGATCATAAGGAAGAGCAATTCGCCCAGAATCACTTTTAACAGGGAACTCAATAGCCTCGATACACGAGAAGATACTGACAAGTAGAAGTAAGAAATTCATTCCAATTGGTATTAATTGTATTAGTAGTTCTGTAAAATAAAATTTGATGTGATAGAGACACGGCTTGCTATATATACGTAGTTTCTTTTGAATAGAGTCATAAACAGAGATGGAATTTTCCTTTTTTATTTTTGAAGCAAGTAACCAGAGATATATTTGCACAATCAAGATATGTCAAATTGATGTAGATCTTTTACTGTGTTTGATCATCGAGTGTCAATAATGTTTCTAATAAACATGCTATAAACTCGATCTTGGGGTATTATATGATATCGAAGGCCACTGAAAACGTAATACTCTTGAGTCATTTTCTCTGACATGTTTCTCTGATTTCTCATATAAATGATGTATGTAAAATTGTATGTTTTCCGTTTCATCAAAAGTATGATTAGCGCACAAAGCGAAAGATTAGTAAGAAAGAAGGAACTAATGCAAATGACAACAAAGTTAATCATATTATGAATGGCAAAGATCTTATATTTATCAGTGAGCGTTCATGATAAACGACAATAAATAAATACTTTATAAATATTTACAAAAACAATAAGTCAATATTTCTGGTTATTATCGTGACAGACGCACAGACAAGGATATATTTCTTCAAAGAATTGAAATGATATGCATGTTGGTACTCAAGTGACGTAAATGAAGTAGGGAAAAACATGATTAATGATATTTTTGTAGAATATGAAATCATAAAGAGATCTTTGCCGTCTATAACGTTAAGATCAGAACGAAAAAGCAAGTAACAAACAGAATTTTATCTACACATGCTTCAAAATAAGATAGAAACCTATATTCACGTAATGAAAATTACAGTGTTTGTGTATGCTGGTAAATTTTCATAGATAATTATGTTCTTGTGTGTACAGTTATTCACGAACTACCGGTTCATTTGAGGATACTTTTCAAGCTATTGGAAGGATAAAACAATGATTGTTGTCTATTTTCTTGACCATATCACAACAAATAAAATATGAATAATGAAAATCTTTCTGTCAAAGATTTTTCTCTGCTTGTTTTGTTTTTCTCATTTCGAATCGATTGAGAATAATCGAAAAGCTAAGTTCTAAGGACGTCATTATGAATCAATCTGAAACGTTACGAGTTCAATAAATCTATTGAGAACAATTTATATTGCCGAGTACGTTTATAGAAAGTGATTGTCTTTTGTCATAGATATCTTTTCTATTTGTTGTACTACGTTAGATTTTTTTGCATATTGTGCACAAGTTCGTAAAGTTAAACTTCAGCAAAAATATTCTTCTACGAATTCTATACAAAGAACATTTAGCTATATTAGGACGATCAGAAGGTTTTTCAAAATTTTTCTTCAAACAAAATTAGTTAATCATCATTATTATTATGACAAAGTGAAATATCGAAATAGAAGAAGAAGAAAGAAAACGACCATATATTGATTGTTGATAACCGTTCGCAAAGATGTTCCTAAATAGAAACGAGGAATTATTTGATGTTGATATGTATGACAAGAAAAACAACATACCGCTACTACATGAACTTTTGTCAATAGCAAACATTTGAATTCGATGATTTGAAAAATCACTTACATACAAATTTCCATCTCGATCAAATGCCAAATCATAGGGATGATTGAGTTGTGTGCTTAGATTTCCTTGACCATTACCACCGACAATGATCGTACCACTTTTAGCTCCTTTCAGCCAACGTGTAATTCGATGATTTCCATAATCAGCTGCATAAACCGTGCCCAATCGATCGACAGTAACAGCAAGTGTCCCCTCGAGTTGATTCAACTGACTACCATTACCGTTTCCACCAGCAACGATAATAGCACTTGTCGCCCAAATATCATTGTTAGCAATCCATTTTGTTATCCGACTGTTGGCATACTCAGGTACAAAGATAGATTCCTGTTGATCAACATACATCTGATAGGCTGCTCATCAGAGAGAAAAACAAGTGGTTAAGTGCGATTCGAACTTGATTGAAAATACTTACGCGTAATTAGTTGTTCTAGAGAAGCGCCTGGACCTTTGCCTCCGATTACTACTTGCCCTTCTCCTGTGCCATTCTTGTTAAACTTGAGAATACGTGCTTGGTACCAATCACCCACAAATAAATGTTGACTTTCTGCTTGTATGGGTCCGAGAGCAATTCCATTAGCATAAATATTCGAAATGATTATTTCCCCATTTCGAGCTCCCTTCTTCCATCGACTTACTCGTTTGTTAGTATATTCAGTGATAAACAAGGTTCCTTCTTGATCGACTGTGATATACCGAGGAGAATCGAGTTGATCACTTCGATTACCTATTCCATTGTTACCAGCAATTATCTGACCACTTGATGCACCTTGTTGCCATTTCATCACTCGTCCATTACCATTATCGACAATAATAAGAGCATCATCATCATTGGAATCGACGAAAATTCCAAAAGGATTGCTCAGTTGATTGTGAGCAGAACCTGGACCATTTCCACCTGCAACTGTCTTTCCGACTGAGGACCATGTTGCAGTTTCACAAATTTCATCGTCTAATAACAATTCTAATCCTGTTAGAAGTCATCTATAAAAACAAATCTAGCTGCTTACGAGAAATCTTGAGTGGTGGACAAATATCTTGAGTGATCATTGACAAAGGATAGCACAGTGATCGAGAATCACATTGAATATATTTGACACAAATTGTGTTTGGTTGAATACAAGTGAAATTCTCGTCGCATGTACTCAATTTTGAACAATTCACGTGCGGCAGAACACACACTCCACTGCTCTGTCGATTAGTTGCACCTCGAACCTCAAGACAAATACAGTCGATATTCAGTGAACAACGATCGTTCTTTCGGGAACCATATTCTGAACAGATTTGGTGTGAATTTGGCAAAGCATTTGAGAGCATGAGAAGCAGTATCACAAAAAAAACTGTTCGAATTGCTTGAAATAATGACATTGTTATCTAAATATTTTATGACGCAATTGATTCATTGACGATTTTGCCCGTTTGATTTCTATCTAGTCAGCCACTTCGAACACTAATTAATGCGTGTCTTTGTTAAATACAGATAAAATTACAAAACATATATGAAAAAGACTATAGACTGAAAAGATTATGCTCTTGCATCAACACGGTGACATTTGATATGCTATCTGTTCGTTTCTTTCTTTTTTATGGTATCATAGACTTTATTAGAAATTTCTTGGTCAAACTTGGGACAAAGCAACGGGAGCACATTCGATTTGACTCATTCTATGTTAACAGAGAAAAGGATCTCTGATTTATAATAGTTTGAAATTGCTTCGTCATATGACTAAGGATTGTAAAATTCAAAGAACTTTTTATACTAGCACGACTTCTCAGACTAGTGAAGAGACAGGAAATCATATATACCCAAGGTAATTCCTCATGGAAGAGAATATTTCGGTTATCAAAGTCTAACATTGAGAAGTTTTATGTTTCAATGAACATTGTCGCACTTCAACCAATGTTTCATGTAATTATTTAACTTCAGGTTGTATTGAGATTCTTGGCACATCGAATGTTTAGATCGATCGATATAGATTCTAAAGTGATTTACCTACTGAAAATTGCTCGATGTGCAATTGCTACTTGACGATTATTTCAATGAAACCTTAACTATTTTAATGAGACTTTCAGAATTTACGAAACAGAATCATCAAAAAAAGAAGTCTCCAAAGCAAATACTTTCGCCTTCTTTCATGAGTCATCGATAAATGTTTGTTTGTCTCTGATGTGAAGAAAGAAAGTTTAAGACGAATAAAATAAAACCAATTTCTTGTTCGTTGAAAGAATATCATCTATTAATACGCGTCGTAAACAATGAGGACAACTTCTCTATATCTACTATTGATCAAGTAAGATTTATTGAACCACCTATCTTTATTGTAAATGTTTCTGACAATTTTTTTCATTTCTAGTTTTTTCGGTATGTGGCATTCTGATATTAGTTTTCACTATTCTAAAGATAAGTACAGAAGTTTTAGTCAGATGTTTTCTATATTGATAACAGATGATTTAGTCAAGTTTAGAATCGATAAAAGATACAGTGAGGTTTGCTTTTGAAGTCATTATTTGATAAAGTATGAGAGAATACGAACGCCAACCAGTTTCTACCACACATTTAGTAAAAATTGAGTGGTAATGAAATGAAAAAAAACACAAATTTGAAACTAGAAATATACTAGTACTTCTTCTAAGGTCGGTCATTCGACATAAGAATAGTAAGGGTGAATTTTTCAAACAAGTGTTTTTTTTTCAAGTCAAGATTTTTCGTGAAAACACTTCATTTATCAAATATTTCTGAGGTTATGATTCATTTGAAGTTGATCTATAAGATGCACATAGAAATTAATCGTGAAATCACTCCATTTGATTGCATATTCCTTTCTTAATAATGTGTTGTGATTCTACTGATTTACTGATGAAAATAAAGATGGTCTATGCTTTCAGTTTTCGTCTGCTCACTTGAACAATCTAACGATGGAATATGTGCAAGCGCCACATGGGTGTCAGATGCTGTTACTGTAGCAGGAAATCATGGCAATGGCTCGGGACTCGATCAAGTAAATCCCAATTATTTACAAGTTGATTACCGTGATGGTTCGATATATATTACCGACTGGTGGTTTGACAGAGTTGTCAAATGGACAGCAGGAGCTTTGAGTGGCCAAGTAGTAGCTGGAGGAAATGGTAGAGGAAACGCAAGCAATCAATTAGGCGGTCCTGTGGGTATTAAAGTTGACAAGAACGAAACGTTGACCATTTGTGATGCGCAGAATAGGCGTGTACAGCGATGGAAGAAAAATGCTTCCAGTGGAGAAACTATCTTGGCGAATACTTCGTGTCGAGGAATAGCATTGGACGATGGAGATGCACTCTATGTGGCCGATTGGAGTCTGTTTCGAGTGGTGAAATGGCAGGCAGGTATACAAGAAATCGTTGCTGGCGGCAATGGTCAAGGAACTGCGCTCAATCAATTGAACAGTCCGTTTGGTCTTTTTCTGGATAAAAACCGAACACTCTATGTAGTAGATCGAGCAAATCATTGGGTTACTAAATGGGAACTGGGTGCCAAAGAAGGCATTATTGTGGCAGGTGGTAATGGTCAAGGCAATAATTCGAATCAACTGAATTCTCCAACAGGAGTTTTCATTGATACTATGGGCACTGTTTATGTATCGGATAGACTTAATCATCGTATTATGAAATGGCCAAAAGGAGCTAAGTCAGGCATTGTCATCGCTGGCGGAAATGGTGCTGGTAATGGAACAAATCAGTTAAATGGAGGCTATGACTTATCATTTGATCGTTATGGTAATTTGTACGTGTCGGACGATGGTAATTTTCGTATACAGAAGTTCATGTGTAATGGTGAGTTGTCTTCTGAAAATTGATATTAACTTTGATCGTTGTTGTTTTTTTTTAGGAGTACAATCATTATTCATGCAGTTTTATGTCACAACTATTTTATTATTGTTTTCTTCTTTCGTTTATTTTCACGCTTGACTTCTTTATAACAGATTCAGCACATTCAAATCATATTAAAATAAAATTGTCAATCTGAATTGAGATCTTTTAGTGAAAAAAAGAAGAAGAATATGAGAGATTGCTATCTCTTCTAAAGATTCTTGATTTCGTTAGAGAAATATTCATAAATCGAAAAGATTTTCGAAAATATTGAAGATTAAGTAACAGATTTGTATTGTCAAAAGGAAGATGCAATGCCTCGTTCTTCGTTTCGAGAATCTAGATCGGATACCTCTACATTTGTTGTCTTAATCGATTTTCTCTTTTCTTGATATTCAAGTAATTCATATGCATGTTAATCTTTTCATGTTTTGATCAACTTCAATTGCTATCTACGCATACAATTCTTATTGAACAATTGCTTTATTCTAAAAAACAAAATATAGAAAGCATATTTAACTCTCTAATTAATCCCACATAAATAAACGATCATGTTCATTCTCTCTGACATTTAAAAGATTAATATGGAACACAAACTTCCAATTTCACGTACACACATGATGCATATTCGTTTCATTTTTCTTTTCATTATTTTGATACGACTTACACTAATCTATATGTATTTCAAAATTATTCATCTGCTATGAGAACTATTCTTCACGTACATTCAGTATCAAACTTTTAATTAAAACTTGTTATATACTATTTCAGTACTATTCAGGAGAAGAAAAAACATATTCTATTACACAAAATTTTACGCGTATGAGACAAAATATGGACAACGGTGCCTATGATTACCAATCTCTTACAGTCAAGATTATTAAAGCAAGTTTGGCAAAAATAAATCAGCAGCAATGATAAAAATCAGATTGACGTACATACATTATTGTTTTCTGTAATCAAGCTTTGTTAACATTAGATCTCATTTAGAGTATGTGCTGATTTTGATTCATTCAACAATAGATTGATGCTTTTTTTTAACATTGGTCATCCTTAACCTTCTAATTGTACTTAAATACCTACCTCAATTTACTGAAAAATTGATTGCATCCAACAATTGAAAAAGACGTAAATCATAGAATTCAATAGAGTGTGGGTGTGTGTTGTTACGTTCTTCAACATCACATCGACACCCACATCAAAATCTTATACATCAATCGATGTAGTTCAGTATTTTTTGTGATATCAATCATATTGATCAGGAAGTCGGCTTAAAAATAATAAACGGTGTAAAAGTTTTTGGAGGATGTGGGGTGTGGGTGTGGGTGTGGATATGAGAAGACACTCACACCCACACACTTACTAGATTGAAAAAATTCGATCAATTCCAAGTCTGAACCACAGTCAACACCTCCACATATACACATCCTCTCAGAGATATAGTGACAGGTAATATATGTATTAGAATTAAAAATAATGCTAATTTAATGCTAATAGCATGGCATAAATTGATTCTTGATCAAATAATAGCATAACATTAATATGAGTTTTAATAATAATGCCTAAAGTATTAGCATTATTTTAATATTAATGCTAATCTGACACTCATATGAATACTCCTTCAGGTATCTGAATATCGGGAGCCGAATTAAGAAAAAAGCATTGGTGAAGCATGGGAGAAAGCGATGAAAAAGTAAAGAATAAAACTATGGAGATTATAGACGAATTGATATATGGTGATATGTATTTCACCAATATCAAAACTGTTGACAGTCGGTTTTCAGTGTTCGTCTGATCATCTCAAATGGTAAAGTTGAACATAAAGGAAATTTTCATTTATGTGTTCGTTTTCCTTAAGTGTGCTCTTTTTCGTGAGTCTCATTTCTATGTATTATCTTTACCCCTTGAGAGGTATGATTACGATGGATTCACGAAATATTTATACAGTAAAAACTTTCTGATGTGAACACGAACAGGAATAACTAAAAGTGTTCATTACATAGAGATTTTCCCTTATTTTTGCAGAAAAGAGTCTCTATGGTCTGGAGAGTGATTCAAATGAGCCCAAGCACTCGAATCATATCTACCCAGGTCGAAATCACGCTGTCGGATCCGAAACTATCCGACAGATTCCGACTATCGGAAATCATCGTTATCCGTTAGTTTCCCGAGGATAGGATCCGGCGACATCCGACAATAGGATCCGATGATATCCGACAACGGGAACTTGTCGGATACGACGAAATCCGATGCTATGAAAGTATCCATATAAATACCCAGGTAAAAAAATCGGACATAAGATCTTGTTGGTCATACGAAATCTTGCAAAAATCGTACAAAAAATCGTGGTTCATGCAATCTTATACTAAGTCATACTATAAGAACCATCCAAGATCTTACTGTCACATAAGATTTCCTATAGTCTTATAGTAAAATCTTACCGAACAACAAGATCTTTGATGGATCTTATAGTACGACTTAGTATAAGATTGCATGAACCACGATTTTTTGTGCGATTTTCGTCTGATCTTACAAGATCATATAAGATCAGACGTAGGATCTTATAAGATCTTACTGTCTAATTTGTCGACCTGGGTAGGAAAGGAATCTTGTAAGCAACATCTTGAAATCTTGGGACCGACAAGCAAGATCTTGATCAGATCTTGGAAAGATAATTTGCATATGCATATCTTGGTTAAATCAGATAAATCTGTGCTTAAGATCTTGTTAGGATCATGGAAAAGATATCGTTCACTATTATCTTCTCACAAGATCTTGAATACAACAAAAAGCGACATCATTAGTTTATTGGTTACATGCTGACTAGTCATTCACCGTTTTTTTTATGCATATAGAGCCGTATATAAACAACTTGATTGAACATACGAAACGTACATTTTCAAAATATATTTTTTTCTATACTGTTTCTCGACTATTAATCATTCGAGAAAATGCTGATCTCTATCAATGATCGAGAGCAGACGACCCTGAAGTAGTGCGATGGAGATCGAGCCATCTCTAGATCAGGCAGGTTCCAAGATCTGACTTGCTTTAGTTATTCGGAATAGGAATAATTAAAATGAAGTAAATTGGAAAAAAAAATGTCGTAACATGATTTTACAGAAAAAAAAATAGTAAGTGCTCTATATGATAGATTCGAACCACGCCTTCAGAATCTATCATGCATTGTGTCGCAAATCACGACACACGCAACACGTATAATCTTAGTGTATACCCAAGATCTTATGGATCCATATCTAAGGTCTTATGAATCTGTGTCCACCCATGAAAAAAAATTTTATAAAATTTTGCGTCGAAACGCGTTTTTTTATTCGCTCGCATGTTTTCGCTAGACTTTAAACGCCGTTTTAAAATACGTTTAAACGCGTTTTTTGAAGTAACAAAAAGCATTCCATAAGACTAAGAAGACCTAAAATTTTTGAAAAAAAATGTTATTTTCAACTCAATCATTGTCTGCAAGGCACTTTCACAGAATTCGTATTCCCTCTGGGAAAATATCCGTCTATCAATC